GAAACAGTTTTTTTCACACTTAGGAAGAATAGCAGTAAAATAAGGGAACACTTGATAGTGGAAGAGTATTAATGTACATGCACTTTTCTTAATCTGTGTAGACTGGAGGATTGTGATGAAACTGCTCCTGTCACTGCTGCTGTAACCACAAAGGTCCATGGAACACAGAAGACCCCAGGGCAGGCTCGAAGGGACTATGGATTTTGGTGTCCACGGCATCTGCAGACTTCCAATGGACAAGGCTACAAGTTTTTGGGAATTGATCAGTGTGCACCCCCATGTCCCAATATGTACTTCAAAAATTATGAGCTGGATGTTGCCAAAAGCTTCATTGGAATCGTTTCAATTTTTTGCCTTTGTGCTACTCTGTTCACATTCTTGACTTTTCTGATTGATGTTAAAAGGTTCAGATACCCAGAGAGGCCAATCATATATTATTCAGTCTGTTACAGTATAGTGTCTCTGATGTACTTCATTGGCTTTTTGCTGGGAAATAGAACTGCTTGTAACAAGGCAGATGAAAAGTTAGAAATTGGTGAAACAGTTGTTCTTGGCTCTCAAAACAAAGCCTGCACTGTCCTTTTTATGGTTTTGTATTTTTTCACTATGGCAGGAACGATATGGTGGGTGATTCTTACGATCACTTGGTTCCTAGCAGCAGGAAGAAAATGGAGCTGTGAAGCTATTGAACAAAAGGCAATGTGGTTCCATGCAGTTGCATGGGGCATACCTGGTTTTCTCACCATTATGCTTCTTGCAATGAACAAAGTTGAAGGGGACAATATCAGTGGAGTTTGCTTTGTTGGTCTCTATGACCTGGATGCATCTCGATACTTTGTCCTTTTGCCTTTGTGCTTTTGTGTTTTTGTTGGTCTCTCTCTCCTTTTAGCTGGAATTATTTCTTTAAATCATGTGCGGCAAGTCATACAGCATGATGGCAGAAACCAAGAGAAGCTAAAGAAATTTATGATTCGAATTGGAGTCTTTAGTGGCTTATACCTGGTACCACTGGTGGCACTTCTTGGATGTTATGTTTATGAGCAGATGTATAGGAGAATCTGGGAGACCACTTGGGTCTTTGACCATTGTGATCAGTACCATATTCCCTGTCCTTACCAGGTAAGGAGTAATGTTTTGTTTCATTCATATTGTAATGTTAACATAAAAAAGGCACTGAAATGCATTATGATATTTGTAACAACATTTAGTGGGTAGACTGTAGGTTAAGAAAGCCAATGAAATGCACACAATATAAAATTCCTAGACCAGTTAAATATTTAAATAAATTGACTGAACCAATATTTATGTTGAAATCTCTAGCTAATCAGGTTGATGGCACTTAGCACTTTAAAATCTTTTTAGAGTAATGAGTTTAAAATTTTAAGTTATTTGAACTTAATCATAAAAAATTGTTCATGGTGGAAACTTTCTACATAATAGGCAGCTATTCCTAAAACTACTGCCCCAAATTTTCTAATTTAGGTGCCTAAAGTTACTCAGCATTTCTGAAAATGAGGCTGCCTTGAAATATGTACCTAAATATGGATTTAAGCAACTAAGTTTAGCCATTCGAATTAGAACATTTTGGTCAGAGCCACATTTGATTAAAATCAGTTTTGTCTTTTCTTAAGTTGTACAAGTACAAAATACTGAGCTTTTCACTCTTTATTTCTCACAACTATGACTACATATGTCCAAGCTGATTTTTGGTAATGTGGACTTAAGTTTTAGAAATGTTAAAAATATATATCTTAAATTGCTGATATGTTCAAGTTTAAAATTTGACTTTTGATTTAAAAATTGTCTTCAGAAAGACTTTAATATGCATACCAACTGCACATGTGCAGTACTCTCTATGGATTACATTTTGTTTCTAATGCATAAAATTCTGTCATGTCAAGTAATTTTGGGTTTATGCCTCTCTATTTATGAGCTGGTGTTTAAGAAGGAAATATCAGTAAGAGAATTGTTAGTTTTTCATGTCAAGTTACAAACTTCAGTTGCCTTGCATCTCAACATTAATGTTTATACTGCAATGAGCTACAATAAAAACAAGGAAAATAAACACAAAATTCTTAGAACGTTAGGGCTTGGTCCTGCAAGTTTCTGAGTACCCTCTACTCATATTGAAGTCAATGAGAGTTGAGTACAGCCCCTCATAGGACTGGGTCCTTAATACTTATTCTTGCTCCCATTTAAAGTCAGTGACAAAATATCCACTGTCTTCAGTGGATAAAGCATTGAGCCCCTTGTCAACTTAAACCTTCCAAAGTAAGGAAGTTCAGAGCTGAGGTATCTATTCTTTCTTTAACAAATTTGCCTTGCAATGCTTAAATATAGCAGCACAGTAATAAGAAATTAATGACATAATTATCAAGGATTATTTAGCTTATTGGAGAGAGTAAATAGCAACAGAACAAACATATGCAATCAAATATTATACCAAGAAAGATTACAACTGGATCTGTTCCTTTGTGTTGTACTTGTTTTCCAGTGACAAAAACCTATTAACTACAGAATGGCTTCTCTTTTTACCCTGATTAGTTCAAAATAAAACCAAAAGCTTCAGCTTCAACAATTACGGGTACCTAACTAACAAAAAGAGTGACTAGTGCTTTGAAGGTCAGGATACAGAGACAAGTGGATTAATCAAGAAAACAAATTACATTTGGGGCATGGGAGAGGAAGTTAAATAACCACTTAATGAGTTAAATGTCTCAGCAACTGTGACCCTGTTCTGCACATAGGTGGATTAATGTTGCAATAAACAGCAGAAAACGCTGGTATACTGTCAGGGGTAAAAGTAACTTAAGGGACTTACCAGTACGCACGGCCAGGGTCCTGAGCAAGGGTGGGGGGCCTCAACTGGAAAGGGCGGGGCCTCCGGCGGAAGGGGCGGGGCCTTTAAATCACTGGCCCCTTTAAATCGCCACCACTACCCCGGTGCTCTGGTAGCAATTTAAAGGGCCCGGGGCTCCGGCTGTGGTAGCAGCGACCGGGAGTCCCGGGCCCTTTAAATCACTGCCGGAGCCCCACTGTAGTGGTAGCTGCGGCGGTGGCTGGGAGCTTCAGGGCTCCGGCGGTGATTTAAAGGGCCAGGGGCTCCAGCCGCTGCCAGGAGCCCAGGGCCCTTTTAGATTGCTGGCCTGGGGAAGCTGCCCCCTGCTGGTACAGTTGGCTGCGTACCGTCTCTTGCCAGTATGCCGTACTGAACTGGACTGGCTTACTTTCACCTCTGTATACGGTCCTGAGGCTCTCTGAAGATCCTGATTCATGTAATTAACTCTAACTCATCCACTCCATCATCTCTTCTGTATCCAGAGGAAGCCTTCAAATATGCAGCGTGTCGCTGGAGAAACTGCTTAATAATACTGTTCCTCCCTCCAAATAATCTTTTCTTCCAGTTTTTAAAAAATTCTCCCCTTATGCCTCACCTCCTGTCCACGTCTTCAGCTACATCTCCATATGCAAAGATTAACCAGATCTGACTCGACTGTGCATGTTTTAGTTCAGTCCATAGTGTGTCTGAATGCAATATAGCATAGCTGGTGTAAAATAGAAAGTACTTCAGTATGCTCTTGTATATGGTTTCTGTTCATTTTCTGCACTTTGTCAAGAGTCAGTGTGTGTGTGTGTGTGTGTGTGTGTGCATTTGTTTATTAAATTTTGTTATCTTCCAGGCAAAGGCATTAGCTAGACCAGAAATATTTTTGTTTCTGATGAAGTACCTGATGACGTTAATTGTTGGCATCTCTCCAGTATTCTGGGTGGGAAGTAAAAAGACCTGTTCTGAATGGGCCAGTTTCTTCAACAGAAATCGCAAGAGAGAGTAAGAGCAACTCTTTGTATGTGGTACTGATAAGCTTTAAAAAAATGTATTTGTAACATGTGTCCCTTTAAATATATGTCCGGTAATATAGAAAAAATATAGTTGTTTACTCTCTCAGGGCCCAATCCTGCAGTTGGACATAGGTAAAATTCCCACTGGAATCAATTCAAGTTTTATCTGTGCAATGACTACATGATTGGGCCCTAATAAGGTAGAAAATATACTTCCCTACTGATTTGGTCCTTTAAATTGAGCAAAAGGGATTTTGCTGCTTTTAACACTGACTAACAGGGCTGTAACTTTCAGTTAAATCAGGGAAGACCTCATGGCCCATCAACTCTGACTCCTTTCATTTTCCAGGTCTGCTGCTTACATCATTTGCACTAATGCTTTAACCGTATCTTGCAGTCGTAGTCCCTTCACCATTTTTCTTAGTAGCTTACTCTGTTGCCCTAATTCTCTTACTATTTCTAATGTCCTACCTTAATTTTTTCTTCTATTGTTTCAGACCACTGTGTTGTCTTCTACCCCCTTTTGCACAAGAGTAATTCCATTCCTTTATTTAAACTTACCTAGAGTTCTCTTTTGTAGGAGATGCATGGGCCATATCCTTTTCAATATAAGCAGACTATAAGTTTAGGTCTCATCCCTTGTAATTATTGTATCCTTTTCTTTTCCCCTGATTTATTTTTCTTTAGATTTCCTATATTCTTCCTAAACTGTGGATGTATTTTTATAACTCTTTATTTCCTTGGACTTGCCCAGCCCACATTACTTTGGTTTTCTTTAGCTCCTTTTATTTGAAGTCTGCATTCCTGGATGGTGAGCTTATAGCTTCCTTTCCATCTCCCTACTTTTCCATTTCCTGTATAAGTCTTTCTTATGTTTCAGCTGTAAACTACTTTCAGCTAAGTGATTACAAAAATGTTGCCCATTTTATACTATTTTTCTTTTTTTTTTTTTTTTCCCACTTTTAACAAAGTTTGCTTAAGGAAAACTTAATTTGGTGACATAGCTACCTATGAGATAATCCTGCTCTCCTTTTTCACATGGTTAATCTCATTCAAGTTATTGGAACTATTTGCAAGAATGAGGCATGTAGGATTTTGCTCTATTTCTGTAAATTTAATTGCTCCACATATATAATTACTTAGTAGCCACAACCCCCAGATAACCTCTGACGATTGGGAGGAAATCATTTCCTCGGTATTGGTTAACATTAGAGCCAGGTTTGTTACATTAGAGACACCCCCTTTGTTACTTCCTTCACATTTTGGAATAAGAAGCAATCTTCCGCTGAGTCTAAATGATCTTTGATGAACTAGTCATATGCTTTTGTTTTTCAGTCCAATCAGTGAGAGCCGAAGAGTGTTGCAAGAATCATGTGAATTTTTCTTGAAGCACAATTCTAAAGTTAAACATAAAAAGAAGCACTACAAATCCAGGTCACACAAACTGAAGGTTATTTCTAAGTCTATGGGGACTAGTACAGGTGCTACAACAAATCATGGAACTTCTGCAGTGGCTATTACTAACCCTGATTACTTAAGCCAAGAGAACTTCACAGAAATTAAAACCCCTCGAGAAACAGCTGAGAAAGAGATGGAGGCAGATGGAACATCAACCCAGAAAGTGGAGGAGGGGGAGAATGCTGGTGGTGAACATGTCCTACAAATATTATCTACTTCTAAACTGGCTATGGAACAGGTGGAAAAGAGCAGCAAGGCAGACAACACAGTTGATATGATTAGCTTATCTGAGAGTATGAAAAGAATGTGTGAAGGAAGGTAAGATCCTTATTTTTTATCTAATTTTGGACTTCAGTTTTCTGGTGTATGTTCATACTACCAATACTGTGGTATATTTTTGTGTCCTTTTCCTTTGAAGACAGATTGTCCAATAACTATAAGAATTACTTTTTCCTTGCAGCTATTGTTAAACTACTTTCCACATGACCATGCAGATGATGTGTTTCTATATGAGGATATATGATTTGGGGATTTTTTCTAGCAGAGGTTTGAAATACTAGAGCTATTATCTTGGGATAGGATGTGCCTTATATTTAGGGCCCCACCAATTTCACGGCCATGAAAAACATGTCACGGACCATGAACTAAGCCCTTCCCCTTGAAATTTGATCTCCCCCGTGCTGCTGGAAGCACCCCAGCCAGGGGCTCCGAGCTGCGAGTTCCAGCAGGGCTGGGGAGGAACAAGACTTGTCCTTTCCCTGCACAGCCGCTCTCGAGGGGTGATCAGACCCACCTCCGAGTGCCTCCCCCAGCTGCAGGAAGCTCTGGGACTGGGTAGTAGCCCCAGGGGTTCCTGCAGCCAGAGGAGACTTGTGGAGGTTGGACTGATCCCCCATTGACAGCGACTGTGCAAGGGAAGGACAAGTCCTGTCCCTTTTCAGCCCGGCCGGGACTCACAGCTAGGAGTCCCTGGCTGGGACACTCCCAGCAGCAAGGGGGAGATAGGGCCCACCTCCACCTTTGGAAGACTCCTGTGGCTGCAGGAAGCTCTGTGGCTGCTGAAGGCAGTGCAGAAGTGAGGGTGGCAATCCTATGACCCCCCTACAACAGCTTTGTGACCTCCCACAACCCCCTTTTGGGTCGGCACCCCCATGGTTTCAACACTGCGAAATTTAAACATCTGAAAATGTGAAATTTACCAAATTTCAAATCCTATGGCCATGAAATTGACCAGAATGGACCATGAATTTGGTAGAGCCCTACTTATATTGCTGAATAGTGACCTCTAAGACAAATAAAGGAACAGCACTGAAAGGCTTTGAAAAGCATTCCCTATCCAGTGCTTGCCAAGATGTCTGTGGCTGCCATACAGCTTCTTTGGATGGGTGGCTGGTATAAAAAACATTAGTGATGACCATCTGGACTCAGGAACACAAAGGCCTATTAAATGGCTAAGGAAAGAGTATTCAGAACTATATTAATGTCTTTTAAAAGGAGTGTTGTAAGTTCAATGTATATTACCATTTTGTTGCTAAATGTGTTTGTGTTTCAGTCTAAAACATTATAAGCTTAAAATTGTTTCAGTCTGTTTTGTTTTTGTTTTTAATTACATACAGGGTATCTCCTAAAAGTGATTTTACTGAAACTCATCCACTACAAGTCAGTAATTCACAGCTACCCAGTGTTTCACAACCAGGCAGTACCAGCGGCTCCATATCAATGCTTGTCCACTCGGCTTCAGACACTAGAAAAGATCAGGATTCTGGAAACAGTTCAAATCCTTGAAAGATTACAATTTCCATATGAATGATTTCAGTTTATGAAACTGTTATGGGTTTGTATTACACTGGAGATTACTGATGCTCTGTGCCTTGTAAAAATACCACATACATATCCCTTGTTTTGCACTTAAAAGTTACACTACATAGTGGGGAGGTCTAGCAATAACCACTGTATTTAACCTCATAAGAGAGTACTGGAAACTGAAGTTCTAATAGCACTCAACTGGGCAGGTCAGCAGTAATTTAAGAGAAAAAGAAATGAGAGAAGTAAATCTTTTTCTCTTCCAATACATGAACATGCTGTTAAATGACAGTAAAAATAATTGATGGAAGACAGTTGCGTTATTTTGAAGCATAAACATTTAATTTGCTTCACTGGTGTCTTTCAGTCTTCCTATTAACATTTCTTTTTCTTTTTAAAGTAACTGCATCTTAAACAGCTGTGTCATTTAGAATAATTAGAAGTTACACAAATCTATGGATATCTTTAATGTGTAAATGTCTCATGATGTACTAATCTTAGCACTGTATTATGGTTGTTTCTACACTGAATCTGAAAAGGATTCTGGAATTATAGTGATTTATTTTGTAGTTAAAAATGAATCTTGTAAATAACTTATTTTTATAAACTCAACATTAAGAACTACTGTTTTATGTTGCACAACTCTGATAACTAAGGTGCTTCCTTCTAGTACCAATAAGATCAACAATATTGTGCTGATAAGATGACCTCATTTCCTTCTGAGTAATAGTCACTACAGGATAATATAAGCATTAATATAACCTCCACATCTAGAGCAAGATTGTGTTTGATCCTTCCACAAATGAGAAAGGAGAGACACCTTTACTTTTGCACACCTACTGTTACCCCAAAAACAGACCCAGGGTACCCACAGAATAGCTCATCTATTCTCCCATTCCCGGGTTTACCAGAGGCTCCTTTCAAGGTAACCTACTAACCTATTAATCTATTTCTGCAAGGTAAAAAGTGGGCCTGCCCTAGAGGAACTACTTGGGTTCACCAGGTTCTCTTCAAGAGACTCCCCAGAATAGCTTAGACCTGTTATCTCTGGGAGGACATGGATATGGCCTTCCATTATAACTGATTGACACACAGGCAATACTTTTTCTAAAACAAAGTATTTTTTATTTATCCTAAATTATATTCCCTGATACAATCATTACTCTTGGGGGAATTCTGCGCCACTCTGCATGTGCAGAATTTATGTCCTCCGCAGATTTCTTTGTTTCCCCACAGAAAAATGACTTTCTGACTGGTAAGCAAAGGGAAGCCACAAAAGCAGTCATGCAGCCCTCCCAGCAGTATGTTTCAGGTGCCCTGGGCAGCTGGCAGAGAGGTAAATCACTGTGGGGTGGGGGCAGGACTGGGGAAGACACGGTCATGGCTCCTACCCTGCTAGGCCTGGCTAGGCTGGGGAGGACAGGACTTCCTCTTCCCCTGCAAGGCATCCGGTGCTGGGTCAGACCCACCCCCAGATTTCAGTTTGCATGAGCACATTCCAATTGTCAGTTTATTAACCTCAATATTATGGTCTGCTGTTGCCACTCTATTTCCCTGCCGCCCTATTTTCAGCTAATCGTGGCAAAATGATGCCCACCCAGGGCTGTACTGAGAAAACAGAATAGAGTAGTTCAAAAATCTCTGATATCACTACACAAGGGCTGAGCTAAGGGATAGTAGGAGTGGGAGAGATTTGTGTCCGTATCCGTGCAAAGAGATGGGGCAGAGAAGTGGCAGAGATATAACCCTGCCTAACATTTTCACTGATTGTTCTCCTCAAAAAGATGCAGCCTTTGTGCATTCCATACAGGAATGGTGCATGAGGTGCAGCTCCACTTCAGAAAGGATGCTTCCCAGATCTTCTGCTGGAGTGGTGTTCCACTCACCCCCAGTGAGGAGGCACAACAAAGCTCTAAGTATACAAGGACAGCATGTTCTGAAGCTCATTTTTCTAAAAATCCAATGTTAAAGATTCTCTGTAGAGAAGTATGATCTTGCAGAAAAAGCAACTTTTGAATATTAACATGCAAATTCATCAGATGAGGTTTTCACTTAAAACAGGACAATAATGCATTTTCCACGTGCCATAATTTTCCCCCCCATGCTTTAATGGTCTGTTTGTATACATAGAAATGCCACATTTTCTTTAGATTTTTTGGTATTAGGGCCCAATTCCCCCACTCAGAGTAGTCCTTACTACCGGAGGTAGTCCGGTTGTTTTCAATCGGACAATGCACATGAGTAAGATGACTGGTGTGGATAAGGGTTGCAGGACAGGGCCCTTTAGGTGAAATTCTGTCTCCAGTGAAGTCAATGGGAGTTTTGCTGTTTCAGTGGAGCCAGGATTCCACTTTCCATCTGTAACACTAATGTTGATACATTCTATAGGGCTCTTATTCATTTTGCCTTATTGGTAACAGGAGGGCTCTTAGTGTGACATATCCACTTTGATAATGTACAATGAGGCTGTTACATTCCACTTTGAACAGCTTTTTTGGGGGGTGGTTTGAACACTCAAGCAAAATCGCATAAGAGAAAGGTCATGTAAATACTCATTGAATAAGAAATTGTAGTTCTGATAAACCAAAGTTACTTGTTTTATCCAATGTATATTGAAATTTGAACGTGTTTGTGTTGTCTTCTGCATTTTATAATTTGTAATTTATTGCCTTAAATAAGGGATGTTCTTTTTTAGTGTTCCTTTTTTATTTTTAGCACACAATATTCTTGCTGCTGAGATAGAGAATGAGAAAAATATGAAATATCCTCTGTGAAGAAACACACTAAATATTCTTTATTCTCTTGTTCTCCTGTTTGTAAACTGAAAACTTTATATATATTTTTAATAGTTTTGTTTTTACTATCTTTGTTAGTAATAAAATATTATATTGTTCAATAGGAGCTCCTGAGTTGATTTTATTGTTAAAGCCAATTAATGAGAACTAAGTATTATTTCCCCTATTGTCATAGTATCTGAGCACCTCACCGTCCCTAATGTGTTTGTCCTTACAACACTTCTGTGAGATAGAGAAGTACTATTATCCCCATTTTGTAGGTGGGGAAATGAGGCATAGAGAAACAAAGTGACTTACCCAAGTTAACTGTAAATGTGTGGCGGAGCAGAGTTTATCCTAACCACTGGACCATTCTTCCTCTCTCTGGTCCTAATCAAAGGCCTCCTTTAGAGTACAGTAAATATGTCCTTACATAGGGTCATGTCGGTGTAGTGTTCTGTCACTGCACAAGTACATGTCAGTAGTTTGACTTGAGATGATTTTCTTTTCTTTTAATACTCATTTAAAAAATTAGAAAAAGGAGTACAAGAGCACTAAAAAGTTGGTACAATAAATACTTTGGATTTGTATTACACTGCATTTTCAAAGCACTGTACAAATGTTAACGAATTAATAGTCACACCCTTTTGAGGTATTGTATGTATTCTTACTTTCTGTGTCTGCTTCTCCATCTGTAAAATAAGTGACTTGCTCAAGATAGAATCTCAGCAAGTCAATAGTAGAGCCATATTTTAGATTCCCCCCGTGACACAACCAATTGAACATGAGCTTCTAGTGCAATGCTGTAGTTAAGGTGACGAACATGATCCTTGGATATATAATCAGGAGAATATCAAATAGCGGTAGGGAGGTAGTATTACGGCATTAGTGAGACTACTACTGGAATACTGTGTCCATGTCTGGTGTCCACGCTTCAAAAAGGATGTTGAAAAATTGGAAAGGCTTCAGAAAAAACCTACAAGAATGATTCAAGGTCTGGAAAACCTACCTCACTGTGAAAGGTTCCCTCCCAGCACACAGCCCCTAGCTATTCCCCTGCCTGCACCCTGAGCTATCCCCTGTCTGCCCACAGCCCCTAGCTAAGCTAAATCACTGCACCCTGAGCTACCCCCTGCCTGCACACAGCTCCTAGCTACCCCCTCCCTGCACCCTGAGCTACACCCCTCACTGTGCACAGCCCCTAGCTACCCCCTCCCTGCACCCTGAGCTGCACCCCTCACTGTGCACAGCCCCTAGCTACCCCCTCCCTGCACCCTGAGCAGTTTTCAAACTTGGAGCTGAGCACCCCCTACTTTGAGTTATAATTTTTGGTTGTGCAAAATTACAACCAAATTTTGCAACCCAGACAAGCTGGGTGGACTGCTGAGGTTAGTCGGGGGGTGGAGGTGGTGGTCCCTCGCCGGGGCCCACCATGCAGATTTGACCCCGCAAAATAGAAGTCAAACTACACCTATGGAGCCACGCTTCCCCATCCGGCACCCTCCAGGGCTAAAACCCCAAGCACCCCCGCCCCCCACACACACTGGGCCCTGGAGTTTTTCTAGCACATTGTGGGTGGGGTGGTGGGGCTCAGAAAGAAAAAGGTTGAGAACCCTTTGCCTATATTAGGTAGGTCACACTAGATTAGGGGTGGGCAAACTATGGCCCCTGGGACACATCTGGCCCGCCAGCCGATTTAATCTGGCCCTCGAGCTCCCACTGGGAGCGGGTCTGGGGCTTGCCCTGTTCCTGCACTCCAGCCGGGGAGCAGGGTTGGGGGTCGCTCCGCGTGAGCTGCAGCTACCAGAAGCAGCGGCATGTCCCCCTCCAACTCCTACATTTAGGGGCAGCCAGGGGGCTCCGTGCGCTGCCTCCACAGCTCCCATTGGCTGGGTTCTGGGGCTAATGGGAGCTGCAAGGGCGGCACCTGTGGATGGGGCAGCATGCAGAACCGCCTGGCCGTGCCTCTGCGTAGGAGCCAGAGGAGGGACATGCCGCTGCTTCCGGGAGCTGCTTGAGGTAAGCGCTGCCCGGAGCCTGCACCCCTGACCCCTCCCATGCCCCTACCCCAGCCCTGATTTCCCCTCTCATCCTCTGAACCCCTCAGTCCCTGCCCGAAGCACCCTCCTGCACTCGAAATCCCTCATCCCCAGCCCCACCCCAGAGACCACACCTTCAGCCAGAGTCCTCACCCCCTCTTGCACCCCAACCCCAATTTCAGGAGCATTCATGGCCCGCCATACAATTTCCAGACCCACATGTGGCCCTCGGGCCAAAAAGTTTGCCCACCCCTGGACTAGATGATGATAATAATCCCATCTGGTTTTATAATCTGCAAGCCCCCTGCAATACATCATGATGCCGCTCTCTATTTTTTTAAATTTACGCAAAGTGAATCTCCATGATAGAGCACTTTAAAAGTGCATTACAATTAGCTCCCAGGTCACATGTGAAATAAATTTCAAAGGCCAAGACTTAAAAAACAGAATAGTGTAATAAATCTTGTGTGATATAACCTGTCTGCTAAATTAGCAGTCCTTCAATTAGTTTTGCAACAATGTATTTTCCGTATAATCTATTTTACTTTCCTTTTTTATTTATCTTTTTAGAGAGTTTTGGGATGCAGTTTACCAAAAAGTTGCAATACAAAATAATGCTGTAGGACAGGCGTCGGCAACCTTTCAGAAGTGCTGTGCCGAGTCTTCATTTATTTATTTTATAAATTTAAGGTTTTGCGAGCCAGTAATACATTTTAACATTTTTAGAAGGTTTCTTTCTATAAGCCTATAATATATAACTAAACTATTGTTGTATGTAAAGTAAATAAGGTTTTTAAAATGTTTAAGAAGCTTCGTTTAAAATTAAATTAAAATGCAGAGTCCCCCGGGCTGGTGGCCAGGCGTCGGGCACTGTGAGTGCCACTGAAAATCAGCTCGCGTGCCGCCTTTGGCACATGTACCATAGGTTGCCTACCCCTGCTGTAGGATATATAAACTAACTGAAAATCATCTAGTTTTGGAGCTAACTTAGTGGTGAAATGTAAAAAGTAAACCAACAAATAGCAAAAAATAAATTAAATAGTTTTTTAATTCTCCGACTTGTAATACTTTTAAGGTGATGTTAGTAAATTTGGTAAGAAAAACAATTGCATATGATTTGTAGTTTTATACTATCCTTTTAAATTTACAAGGAGCCTGACCATTTGGAAAGCACTCCTGGGCTGAGTGGGAAGAGACAGTTGAGACATCATTGCGTGTTTTTAGTTTGAAATTTGGTCAGTTGCTTCACAGGGAAATGCAGGTCCTTCCTCTTTCATAGCCACCGAACTCACCAGTGCTTCATAGGCAGCCAGGCCACCTTTTAGTTGAGTAAGAAACTAAATCAGGAATTGTTTAAATGTTCCCAATTCAACTTCTTAAGTAAAACTAAAAAAGCAAACCTAGCTTTCTACAA